GACGTTTGGGGCCCTGCCCCCGTCCCCGGACCGCGCGGTGAGCGCTACTTTCTTGTGCTCGTCGACGACTACACGCGCTACACTACGGTGTTTCCCCTGGAGCGAAAGGCCGACGTGCCCGACGTTCTTCTCCCGTGGGTTGTGGCTGCGCGTCTTCATCGCGGTCTCCCCGTGTTGTGTCTCCACTCTGACCGTGGCGGTGAGTTTGCCTCCGGTCGACTTGGCCAGTTCTATCGTGCGGAGGGCATCACCCAGTCGTACACCTTGGCAGACTCGCCACAGCAGAATGGGGTTGCTGAGCGCCGCATCGGCTTGGACATGGTTGCTCGTACCTCCATGATTCATGCTGATGCCCCCCATTTTCTGTGGCCGTTCGCTGTTCACTACGCTGCTCACCAGCTTAACTTGTGGCCACGCTCCCAGCGGCCGCAGGTTTCGCCGACCCTCCTTTGGACCGGGTCCCCCGGTGACGCGTCTGCGTTCCACGTCTGGGTTGCCTTGCTCACATTCGTGCCTCTGGCACGGACAAGCTCACTGCCCGCACTGTCCCCTGTGTCTTCCTCGGTTTCCCCCTGGACTCGTCTGACTAGCTCTTCTACCACTCGCCGTCTCACCGCTTCCTTCACTCTCGTGACGTCACCTTTGATGAGTCTGTCTCCTTCTACCATCGCTTTCCTCACCGAGGTCTCCCGGTTCCCCCCCCGCGTGTTCCTTGCTCCCTCTTCCCCGATAGCCCCAGCTCCCCTCCCGCCTCGTTCTGCCCCGTCTGGTGTCTCGCATGTCACTCCCCCCCGTCGGTTGTCCCCGTTGAGGAGTCTGCTGACTCTGGTGGTCCCCTCGGCCCGTCCTTGTCGCGTCTCCCTTCCCGGGTGTCTCTGTCGCCACCGCTGTCGCAGCCGCCGCCGCCGCCACCGCCGCCGCTGCCGCTCTTGGCCTCTGGGGGTGCTGGCGTTGAGGAGAGTGTTCGTCTTGCGGCTCCTGGCGTGGTCTGTCCCGGCGGGCCTGGGGGTGCCGCTGGTGCTGGAGGGAGTTCTCGCTCTGGGGGTGTTGGTTCTGGGGGTGCTGCCATTGAGTGTTCTCCCGGCGGTCGTCGTGCCCCTGCCGGTCCGCGGGTCGAGACCCAGCCGCCACAGCAGCTGCCGCAACCACCGCAGCCGTCGCCGCCGGTCTCCGCTCTTCGCCTGCTCGGCCTTCCCTCCCCTGACCGCTCGCCAGTGTCTCCCCCACCACCTTCTCACCTTCCTGTCTACGGCCCTGTGTTCCCGCCCCCGGACTCTTCTCCGGCCCGTCTTCCTCCTCGTGGACTTCTTCCAGACCTTCGCCTCGACCCCGAAGATGACTACTCTTTGGGCACTGCTACACATAGTAGCACAGCGCGACTACGAGCTTCACTCCCTCGACTTCTCTACTGCCTTTCTTCCGGGCAGCCTACACGAGCAGGTCTACCTGTGCCGACCACAGGCCTTCACTGGTACCTTCCCCCCTGGGACCCAGTGGCTTCTCAGGCGCCCGGTCTACGGCCTGCGCTAGGCTCCCAGCGAGTGGCACGACATGCTGCGTGCCACGCTAGCAGACGTGCAGTTCTTTCCGTCCTCAACTGACCCCTCACGTTTTGTGCGTCCCGGCCAGACTCCGTTCTATATCCTTGTCTACGTAGACGACCTGGTCTTCGCTACTGCTCACAGGGACGCACTGGCCTCCGTGAAGGCAGAGCTGCTGAAGAGACACACCTGCACTGACCTTGGAGAACTGCGTTGCTATCTTGGCCTGCAGATCTCCAGGGACAGAGCAGCACGCACCATCACTCTCACACAGTCACACTTGGTGCGTCAGGTCCTTCAGAGGTTCGGTCTTCAGTTCTCCTCTGCACAACCCACACCTCTACCTGTAGACCATTGGCTCTCCGCTCCCATTCCTGAGGAGCGAATAGAGCCCAGCGGCCCCTACGCAGGGCTGGTGGGTTGCCTCATGTACCTGATGACTTGCACTCGCCCAGATCTCGCATACCCTCTCAGCATCCTGGCTCGCTTTGTGGCCACCGGCAGACACATACCACAGCACTGGTCGACCGCTAAGAGGGTTTTGCGATATCTAGCGAGTACATTGGGCATGGGGTTAGTGCTTGGAGGATGCAGGCCAGTGGTTCTCACTGGGCACACAAACGCTTCTTGGGCAGATGACTCTGAGACTCTTAGGTCGTCTCAGGGCTACTATTTTAGCCTTGGTTCGGGTGCTATCTCTTGGAGATCCACTCGCTCGTCGTCTATTGCTCAGTCCAGCTGTGAGGCTGAGAACTACGCCGGTGCCATGGCGGCACAGGAGCTCCGCTGGCTTACCTTCTTGCTCACAGACTTAGGTGAGCAGCCTAGCTCTGCCCTGGTCCTGTACGCTGACAACAGGGCCATGATTCTCCTGTGTCAGGAGCCTCGGCTTGAGGGCAGGGCGAAGCATAACCAGCTGCGGTACTTCCTCCTGCGCGAGCTACAGCAGCGTCGCCAGGCCCGCGTAGTTCACTTGGCCTCTAGTGCCAACACAGCTGGTGTCTTTTCAAAGGCGCTTGCACCTAAAGATCATCAGCGGCACTGTGTCCAGCTTGGCCTTGTTCCTGTAGCTACTCACTTGGTAGGACTCTGATTGTGTACTCTCTACTATATATACTTGTCTGACTGGCCTTGTGGCCTTGCCTCAAGTGGCTGGACTAGTAGTGCCGCCCTGGTTTGCTTTAGTCTTGTTTGTACTCTTGTTGACTGGTCTTCGGACCCCTGCCTCAATGGTTGGACTAGTGATGCCACCCTGAGCTGTGTGTTTCTTGCTTAGCACCACCCCTTCTCTAGCCTAGGGGGTGTGTCAACTTATACATATTATATATGTAGAAGTTATAGGCTAGCCTAGGTGTGTGCTTCTAGTGAGTACAACCCCAACAGGTATATGTTCTAGGTTTCTCACACTAGTCAATTATTCTTGCATTCTAACTAAGTCTTGTAGAGTCGGGATTCGACGGAGTTTTTTTCGGTAAATACATTTGTTGGAAAAAACAAAAGACAACTGCCAGACTTCTAATAGATTTGTTGTATTGAAATTAATACAAATTAATAGTTTTAATGCAGTTCTGAGAGTACCTTGACGTGCTTTTAAATATATTTATTTCACAAAAATAAACCTTCGTAGCTATCTATATATGATATTGTTTTCGGGCGGCTCGGGAATGACAACAAGTTTATGGCTTGACTTTTCTTTGCGCATTTTGGGCATTTTGCGTTTTTTCGCTCGAAATGCGTTTGGAGCTCGGGAAAAATATCGCGCCAGCCGCAATGATGATGAATTGGTTTGGCGCGATCGGGAAAACGTTCCTCGACGGCCGGGGATTACTTCTACTGACCATTCGTGGAACTTTTTTCCTGCAGTTTTTGACTAACGATGAACTCGACTGATTAAATATGTTACAAACTCGCTAATTCTGATTGTTTATATCGTGTCACTGACCGTACATGTTATCAAGGCTCCTAATACTGAGCGCCGGTATACTTTCCCTATTATCTTCGCTGGGCTCTTTTTTAGGGCCACGGAAACCAGCCATGGTATTCCACACATTTGGGAGCTTGCGGCAGTTTGTACATGTTCCGAGCTGGCATTCCATTGGTTGTTTATGCCAACGGATTTTGCGGGGCCTATCGGCTCTCACAAAAATTCGCACGTAAGGAGCGCGACAAACTGACGAAAGGAAGTTTTTTCGAAAACCTCTCGTCGATTTATCAACTGCTGCAACGAGAGGCCCTCAGGAATGTACCCTAAGTGCAAACAGGGTGCGTTGGAAATTACCCTGGCTACACCAGGGAGCTTTTTCAAAAACTTGGAAATACCTTAAAACTGCAAGGGTTTGAAAATTCTCACCCTTTCAGGCAGGGCAATTTTTTTTAGTACCCTGATCCGTAAGGGTGGCCCTAAACCAATTTATGCCCCTGGTTGTGATGCATTCACCAACCACCTCCTTTCCTTCTCTCTCACCACCCTGGCTGCCCCTTCGTAATAACATGTCTCCTATATTCCTTGTACATGCCTGAACAATGAGGGTATAATGCGGCAAGCCTTTCAATAAATTGTAAATTAAATAATGAATTGTACAAGTTTTTGTAGCACGTTATGGTAGCCCTACTTTCAGTATGTGCTTATTTCACCAGACAATCCTACATAAAATTATTAATATCAAGCATTCACAAAGTACATACCATTATGTTGCATAGGGGGGAGCATGAAGTCCATCTATGAGAAGCATTCAGCATGAAATCCTAAGAGGGTGTCCAAAGTGGGATGTCGACAAATGTCCTCGACATCCGCCGACATCCTCAGATCGGTGTGCCTCCAAACGTTTGGAAGGGTACATACGGTTTCTAGATCGGTGCTTCGACATCCGAGATCTCCATGGATGTCGTTGGATGTCGCTGGGCACTTTGGACACCCCCAAGGGCGTGTGTTATCGCTTGGGGGGGGCCAAAATTTCGCACATTATCAATTTCGGAAGGTGTGCGAACAGTGAATCCCGATATTCGAACAACACCACGAACAATCACATCTGCCTATACGCAGAAGTTGGATCTGTTGTAATATATATATCTATACAACATGCATGCCTAGATTAGGAGGTGTAGTCATTATAATTATTGGGGGGTTGTTGGTTGGGTTGACCAACCCCACATTTGGGTTGGTCAAGATTGGATTTGGTCCTAGACATTTGGTTGGCACTATTCCAACCAAATGGTCCTTGGTCCTAGGAACCAACCAATCACCAAGCACCACACTTTGTGGTTGCTTGCCTTCCAAGCAATCTCTCTCATTGGTCCGCTTTGTGGCCAATCGGAGAGCACCACACTTTGTGGTTGCTTGCCCTACAAGCAACCTCTCCCATTGGTCCACTTTATGGCCAAATGGGAGAGCTTCCCCTCCAACTCTTCTTGCTCCTTGTTTTGTACAAAAGAGCCTCTTGGCTCCCTACTCAATTCAATCTTTTCTCTTCCAAGCTAGTTCCTTCATGGTATTCAGAGCCACAATGGCTCACGCCACCTCTAGTCGATCCTAACTAGCACGGCCCTATGCCGTCCCTCCTCGTCTTCGAAGTCTAGCCCTTCCTTAGGCTACTTCCCGCGCCCCCCGTGCGCCCTCTCTTGCGCGCTACTCCGTCGCGCCCGATCTTCCTCCCGTCGCGCGCCTTCTACCGCGCCCGCTCTCCCTTCCGCCGTGCGCCTCCCGTCGCGCCTGACGACGCGCTTGTGGCCATCGCATTCTCCTATTGCGCCCGTTGGTGCGCTCCTCCGTCGCGCGGCCCGTCGTCGCGCCCTCCCGTCGCGCGCCCTCCGCGTTTGCGCGCACCCGTCCGTCGCGGTCTCCGCGCGCCCATTTGTCACGGCTCCCGCGCACGCCCGTCGACAAATCCTCCCACCGCACCCGTCGACTCTCTGCCGCCGCGCGCGCACGGCCGTCGGTCGATTTCTCCGCCGCGCACGGCCGCTTGCGTCGATTCCGCAGTCGCGTGCATCCGATCGTCGCGCCATTTCGGCGTGCAGCCGGCCGCCGCATCTTCCTTCCGCATCGGCCTTCGGCGACTTAAGAGCTGCGCTCCGCGCACCTATCCTTCTCCTCCCTCCCCCCCTTTTTCCTCCTCCTTTCCTTTTCCTCCTTCCCCCCCCACCTTCCTTCCCCTCCTCCTCCTCAATGGCGTCCGATTCCTCAGTGGACCTTACCTCCGTCGACGCTCTTGAGCTGCTGCCCGACAACACCGCGGTCAATTGGCATTCCTATGCCCAAACCGTCACGGTGCTTCTCTCCTCGGTGACGGTCAATGGCTACAACCTGAAAGCCGTTGTCCATCTCGAGGAGCGCGGTCTTCAGCCTGCCCAGCCGGATGCTCCCGCGGGCCCTGCACCTCCTCCTCCTGGCGATGCTCCCGTCAGCCCCGGCGATCCTCCAACCTTCGCCCCTGATGTCAACGACCCTCAGAGCTCCGAGACCGCCATCCGCACCTACCGTGCCGGCCTCACCGACCACGTCCGCCAGCAGCTGCTCTTCGAGGCTTCCAGCGCCGAGCATGACGCCGCCACTGCCGCCTACAACACGTATCAGGCGGCGCTCGCGGAGTACGTCAGGCGCGAGCGCGCATACATCACCGACCTTGCTGCCTGGCGTGTCGCTGACCGGCGCGCGCTCACCATCCTCCTCGCCACCATTCCTCCCACCCTCAAGCGAGAGCTTGCTCCCACCTCCTCCTCCCACCTCTGGCGCCTCCTCACCGATCTCTATGATCGGCAGGACGTCGCCACCCTCTACTCTCTCATTAAGGAGTTCCAGAGCCTCACCATGGACGCCACCACCGGCGCAGCTGCCTTCACGCGTCGCGTCCTCGACCTCGCTCGGCGCCTGGCGGCTCTTGGCGTGCCGTACCCGGACCCAGTGCTCTGCTGCCATCTCCTTGAAGGCTTGTCTCCTGCCTTCGACACCCATAAGATCGCCTACATGCAGCTGATCGACAAGCGCATCACCCCGGCTGAAGTCGCCCAGTGGATTATCACCACCGAGGCCGACCTCTTGCGCCATTCCTCCTCCACTGCCGCTGTTGCTCAGCAGCGCAACACCAGGGGAGGGCGTGGGGGTGGGCGTGGCGCTGGTCGTGGTGGTGGCGCGGGTCGTGGCAGCAATGGCGCAGGACGTGGTGCAGCAGCCGCTTTTCCTCCTTGCCAGTATCTCCCTCGCTATGGCCCCACGCGGGGTCAGCGCTGCGGCCAGACCACCCATGCCACTGACTCTTGCTTCAAAGTGCTCAGTGATGAGTGGTTTGCCCGCGGCAACACCGGCACCCCCCCCCGCTGGTCCTCCCTCTCCCCTCGCCCCACTCCTCAGGAGGTTCGCACCTCCCCTCTTTTTCAGCCCGTCTCCTCCCCCTTGGCCCACCAGGCCGTCTCTCAGCAACAGCAGCAGCAGCAGATCCTGCCGCAGCCGTTTCAGCAGCAGCAGCAGCAGCAGTTCCAGCAGCAGCAGCAGCAGCAGGGGCAGCAGCACCTCTTCTCCCAGTTGCAGCAGCAGCTCCACCAGCTCCAGCAGCAGCTTGACCTCCAGTCGCAGCTCCCCCTTGCACCTCCTCCTATGGCTCCCCCCCAGCAGCCCTACTCCGCTTGGACCGCCGGCACCGCCGCTTCCGCAGCTCACCTCTCGGGCGCGTCTCCCGCGCCCTCAGCCACAGGCAGTGTGACTCCTTTCCCCTCCTCTGGTTTTGTTGGCATGCTTAGTCACGCTGGCACCCCCGCCCCTTCTATGTATTCGGCTGCTATTAATGAGAATGTGATTCAGTACTCCGTCCCACCTCCTCCCCCACATCCTCCCCCCTCCACCACACTGGACTTTGTCCTTGACAGTGGAGCCACCGAGTCCGTCCTTCGTGATGCTGGTACCCTTCACCCTCTCCCAGCCCCCACCTCCCTCCTTGGTGCCGATTCCAGCTTCTCTATTCCCTGTCGCCACACCTCTACCCTCCCCTGTCCCCTCTTCCCCTCAGGTACCGTCACTAGTTTACACATCCCCTCCCTCCGTACTAACCTCCTCTCCCAGCGATCCCTGCAGCAGGCCGGTATCACCACCGTCTTCCCAGGTCGCGCTAATCACTGCCTCCTATACCATCCCACAGGTCGCCTCCTCTCCCGTATTCCCTTTTGTCCTCGCTCTCGCCTATATACCCTTCGAGTTCCTCGTCTTCCCTCTGCCCAGGCAGTCTCCCACTCCCTCCCCCCACCTCACATCCCTCCCCCTCCTCTCCCTCCTTCTAACCCAACCATTCCCCCCCTCCCCCCTGACCCAACCTGCTCCTGTCGATCCCTCTCCCATCCCACCGTCCTCCTCCACCACAGGCTTGGTCACCCCAACTTTGCCACCCTTCGCTCGACCGTCTCCTCAGGTCTCCTTCGAGGTCTTCCCCTCACCCTCCCTCCCCTCCCTCCCTCCCTTGCCCCACCCTGCTCCGTCTGTGTCCAGAGCAAGCTCAGGCAGCTGCCGCATCGGAGTTCCCCCTCCGCTGCTGCCCAGCCGCTTGATCTTGTTCACATGGACCTCTGGGGCCCCAACCCCTCCCCTTCCCGCCAGGGCCATCGCTACATGCTTGTTCTGGTCGATGATCACAGCCGATATTCGTCCGTCTCCCTTCTTCGCTCGAAGGGTGACGCTCCGGCTGCGATCATCGCCTGGCTCAAGCAGGCGAGCACCCACTTTGGCCGCCCTGTGCGCCGCCTTCACTCTGATGGCGGTGGCGAATTCCTTAATCGTCAGGTAGCCTCCTACTGTGAGCTTCATGGCATTCGCCAGACTCACACCCTCCCCCACTCCCCCCAACAAAATGGTGTGGCCGAGAGCCGTGTTCGGGAGATCACCAAGATTGCGCGGTGTCTCCTCGTCCATGCCTCTTGCCCCCCTTCTCTGTGGGGCTATGCCCTCCTTCACGCCACCCTCCTTACTAACCTGTACCCCCACCCTATCCTTCCCTCCACCACTCCCACCGAGCTCTGGACGTCGGCCAAGCCTGACGTCTCCTCCCTCCGTGTGTGGGGCTCCAGGGCGTATGTCCTCATTCACCCTGCGGATCGCCCCCGCACCATGGGAAAGCTCGCCTCCCGTACCCTCCCCTGCATCTTCCTTGGTCATAATCCCTCCTCCCCGGACTACCTCTTCCTTCACCCCCCCTCAGGTCGTTTCCTCCGCAGTCGGGATGTAGTCTTTGATGAGTCCACACCCTACTATTCCACTCCTCCCCCCACTGACCCTCTCGCCCCTGCTCCCAGGCCCCTCAACTGGTCCGACACTATCCCACCCCCTCTTCTCCCTCCCCCTCCCATCCTCCCTCCCGCTCCACCTCCTCCATTCCCCGCCGCCTCGGTCCCTAGTGCTCCCCCCTCCTCTGGTGACATATTTGACCCTGACTCTTTTTTCCCCCCCGCCTCCCCGTCCCACTCCTCCCCCTCCGCTCCCTCCCATCCCCCCCCCTCCCCTCCTCCCCCCTCCCCTCCTCCCCCCTCCCCCCCACGTCCCCCTCCCCCCTTGCGTCCCACCCGCTCCATCCTTACCCGGTATCCCCACACCAGGTCGCGTGACGCAGTCCTAGGTGCCCCGCCTCCTGTTATCCTCTCTTCCTCTCCCTTGCCTCCTCTCTCCCCTCTCATGGACCTCCTTTTTCAGACAGTCTTACAACAAAACACTAGCCCAACCCTGCCGTCGAACTCCAGTACAGCAGCCCCACCAGCAGCAGCAACAGCTGCAGCAGCAGTTCCACCCACCGCAGCAGCACCAGCAGCAGCAGCCGTCGCTCCTTCCTCGCCTTCAGCCGCAGCAGCAGCAGCGGCGGCAGCAGATGCAGCAGTAGCAGCCGCCTCAGCAGCAGCAGCAGCAGATGCATCCTCAGCAGCAGCAGCTGCAGTCCTCCCATTCATTTTCCACTCCTCCCTCCTCGAGGACTCCCATGAGGAGTTCCTCAACCTCCACCTGCATGATCCAGCCCTCCTACCCATCTCTCTTGACCTCAGCGGCACACCAGTCTTCGCCTTCTCCTCCGCCCCCACCATCTTCGTCCCCGCCACGTACGAGGAGGCCATGGCGTGCCCTGACGCTCACCTCTGGCTCGCGGCCATCCTCAAGGAGTTGGAGGCGTTTATTGCCAACTCTTCCTTTGTGGATGTGCCCCGCCCTCCCTCTACCACGAACGTGGTCAAAGGGAAGTGGGTGTTTCGGGTGAAGCAGCTTCCTGGCGAGCCGCCGGTCTACAAGGCCCGCTACGTCGCCAAGGGCTTCACCCAGCACTACGCTGTCGACTTCTTCGACACCTTCTCTCCCACCGCCAAGCCCGCTACCATTCGCGCAGTCCTCGACCTCGCCGCTCGCCTCAACATGGAGATTCACTCCATGGACGTCTCCAACGCATTTCTCCAGGGGGTCTTGCGCGAGCTCATTTTCATGGAGCGTCCTGCAGGCTTCCACCTCCCCTTTCCTTCCAACTCTGTCTGGCAACTGCGTCGGCCGGTCTATGGGCTCAAGCAGGCACCAAGGGAGTGGCATGCCAAGCTTGCTGCCACCCTCGCCGAGCTTGGCTTCAGCACCTCCCGTGCCGACCCCAGCCTCTTCCTCCGCACCTCACCCTCCCCCTTCTACATCCTCGTCTATGTCGACGATATGATCCTCATCACTGCCGACTCCGCCGAGCTCGAGCGCGTCAAGCGTGAGCTTGGTAGCCGGCTCAAGTGTAAGGATCTAAGGGAGCTGCAGCACTATCTCGGTATGGAGATTACCCGCGACCGTGCTACTTGCACCATCTCCCTCTCCCAAGGCCACTACCTGCAGCAGGTCTTGGAGCGGTTCGACATGGCTCGAGGCACCCCTCAGGTCACCCCTCTTCCTGTTGGGCACCACCTCACTCCCCTCAGCTCCCCCTCCTCCTCCTCCCACCCCTACGCTGAGCTCATCGGCTCTCTCATGTATGCCATGGTATCCACCCGCCCTGACCTGGCATACCCCATCAGCGTTTTAGCCCGCTTCGTTGGTACCGGCAAGCATGATGCCGCCCACTGGCAAGCGGCCAAGCGAGTCCTCCGCTACCTTCGGGGGACCAAGGACTACGTCCTTACCCTTGGCGGCCCCTCCCCTCCCCTCCTCACAGGCTACTCTGATTCCTCCTGGGCTGACTCTAGGCCTGACCGCCGCTCCTCTCAGGGCTATGGCTTCTCTCTTGGCAGCGGCCTCATCAGCTGGCGCTCCACCCGCTCCTCCTCCATTGCCCTCTCCTCCTGCGAAGCAGAGCTGTATGCCGCTACCATGGCTGCGCAGGAGGCCCGCTGGCTCTCCTTCCTTCTTGAGGAGCTTGGTGCCCCTCAGCGCTGTCGCACCATCTGGTGCGACAACGCCAGCACATCCACCTCACGAAGGATGCTATGTTCCACGGGCGCTCCAAGCACATTGAGCTTCGCCACTACTTCATTCGCGAGCTTGTGCAGGGTGGCCACCTCCGGCTGGACAAGATTGACTCTGCTGCCAATCTTGCCGACATCTTCACCAAAGCCCTCCCCCACGCCGCCCACTCCTTCCTCCTTCGCCTTCTTGGACTCGCTCCCCCCATTCCCTTGTCCGCCTCCTGATTCAAGCCCTCTAGTCTTATGCATGTTGGGGGGTTGTGTTGTAATATATATATCTATACAACATGCATGCCTAGATTAGGAGGTGTAGTCATTATAATTATTGGGGGGTTGTTGGTTGGGTTGACCAACCCCACATTTGGGTTGGTCAAGATTGGATTTGGTCCTAGACATTTGGTTGGCACTATTCCAACCAAATGGTCCTTGGTCCTAGGAACCAACCAATCACCAAGCACCACACTTTGTGGTTGCTTGCCTTCCAAGCAATCTCTCTCATTGGTCCGCTTTGTGGCCAATCGGAGAGCACCACACTTTGTGGTTGCTTGCCCTACAAGCAACCTCTCCCATTGGTCCACTTTATGGCCAAATGGGAGAGCTTCCCCTCCAACTCTTCTTGCTCCTTGTTTTGTACAAAAGAGCCTCTTGGCTCCCTACTCAATTCAATCTTTTCTCTTCCAAGCTAGTTCCTTCAGGATCCACGTGGCCCAGCTTTGAAAGTTGAACATTCGAGCCCAGGCAACGAATGACGACTCTCACAAAGTCGCAAACTTCGCAAGCACAAACCGAGCCACCACCCAACCACAATAGCCCAGCACAAACCTGAGCTGCGGAGACGTTGAAATGCCGTGGCAAAACTGTCACAATTCATTCTTGCAGTCTCATCACTCGTCAAAATGGGGGAACGCGGGTTCCTGCTCTTTGTAGGCCTTCTCTACCATGGCTACGTTATCCTTTTCCTCCGCCTGTTTAACACGCTTCTTGCCGCGATGTTACCTGAGCTTGCGCGGCTCGACAATGACAACATGCATCGGGAGTTTTTGCGCCACGACAGGGCCAACCAACATCAAACTTGGGAAGACCGCATCAAGTACTTTCGGCCTGACGCCTTTTACGCCGCTCTCCGAGTGGACCGCGATATCTTCTCCTACCTCGTCAATGCTTACCGCCACAAGTTTCCGGACGCACCTCGACACGCTTCAATCTAGTCGCGGGTCGCGTTGGCGCTTGTGCGTCTCGGCACTGGGGCGACGTATCGCCAACTCACCATGTCCTTTGGGGTGACTCACGGGCATGCCCGCCGCATCGTCCGCCACTTCGTAAGCTTTGTCTACCATGATCTCACCCCGTTATGGAACAATTGGCCCAACGAATCGCAACTCCAATGCATGGCCGAGGAGTTTCGCTACGAGGGCGGCATCCCCGGTATTGTCGGAGCAATGGGCGGCACCTACATTAGGTGTCGTCCGGTGGGCTAGCACAAACTGGATTTCAAAAACCGCTAAGGATTCTTTTCAATCATTTTACAATTACGCTGTGATTCTAACGGCCTCATATGGGACTACCAAGCAAGCTACCCTGGCAGCGTCAACAACGTGCGTGTCTTCCATAGGTCTCACACCCGACATCTTATTGAGGCCGGATGGATTGGCAACTACTGCCAAGTGAGTGACGCCGCGTATGGTGTGCGCGCTTGCACCTACGTTCCATATCGCGCGCCACCAGGAGGGACCCTGATGGATGACGAAGGAATATGGAAGAAGTAGCAGTCGCGGAGTCGTATGATTGTGGAACAGGTTAACAGTAGGTTGAAAATGAGGTGGCGAATTCTGGACGAGCGCATGAACTGTCCCCCAACGCGCGTACCCGAGACCGTCGGCGCTGTCATCGGCCTGCATAACATTAAGCTTCTACTAGGCACGCACGTCCGCCTGGGACCCGAGGACGAGAGGAATCGGTGGTGGCTTCGTGGGCCAGCTGCGCGGCTGAGGTGGGGGTGAGAGGGTTCACGCCGAGTCTTCAGAGGACGAGGCTGACGGAGTACCTCTACGCCTCTTTTGAGCTCGCGCATCCCGGAGTTCCCAAGGCATCTCTCGGGTAAATTCTTCGAACTCTGCCCATTGTTGGTCTTGGCGTTCATCGTAGTGCGTAGTCATACGGTCTGCGACATCAAACAGACTGGAACGGTTGTTGTAACCAGGTCATTCACGATGCTCTCCCTCTCGCAACTTTGCCTCCCGCATCGCTTCTGCCCTCGCCGCCGCCTGCCCGCTGACTCCCCGTGAGCTGCCCTCCCCTCCATCCCCCGCAGGCCGTGTCCCCCAGGAGAGGCGGCGAGACCGCAGCAAAACACCTGTCGCTGGACTGGCGATGCCTGACGGTGGGTGTCACAGGATCGAATGTGTCGAGGAAAGGTTGCACTATCGATTGATACAAGGGGCTTTTATACTTCCAAAGTACATCACGTAACCAAGTTTATCCTATCCCAAGGGAATAGACCCTTCTAGAAAATAGAATCACCCTGCGTATAGCCACGCGAGGCCATTGGCTTTAAGGGATTACGGCAGGATTACGCAAGATATAGCGTACCAGTACATCCCGAGCCTGGTCGGTGATATAATGATAATAACAGGATAAACCAAAGGTTTATAGAAAAGTAGAAATAGGAATCCAAAGGGAATGAGATAAAGACCAAATGAATCAAGATAAAAAAGAGGAATGAAATGGAAAGGAGAAAGGAATTGAATGGGGTCGTACTCTCACACTTCCCCCCCTCAAATCTGGGTGGTAGACGTAACACCCTGCTTGACAAGGTAGTCGCGAAGAGGACGACGAGCGTGATCCATTTCAGATTCAGAGACCCAGCTATCCTCTGAAGGATCATAACCCTTCCAATGGATGAGAAGCTCCACAGTGCCATTCCGTTGATGGCGGTGAGCAAGCACAGTCTCGACCTCGTACTCGGGTTCATCATGGACGAGGACGGGCGGCTGCGGCGGCGGTTGGCGTCCAGAGAAGACCGTGTTGGGATCTCAGTAGGGCTTCAAGAGTTGGACATGGAAGGCGTTGTGAATCTTCCAGGTAGCTGGTAGGCGTAAGCGGAAGGTAACAGGAGTGACCTGTGTTTCAACGAGAAAAGGCCCGCAGAAGCCAGATCGCAGTTTGGATGGGAGATGGCTGATGTCAAGATTGCGCGTGTCGAGTAGTACTCGGTCTCCCACGGTGATGGTGTGGTCTGTGCAGTGGCGATCGGCCTGGCGCTTCTATTGCTGCTGAATGTCGAGAAGGCGCTTGTGGGTCCGATCCCAAAGTTTGTGCATGGTCGTGATGAAATCATGAGCAGGTTGGACTGTGGCTGGTATGGTTGGCTGTTGAGGTGTGAGTGGGTGGCGTCCGTAACAGAGGAAGAACGGCGTCTGTCCAGTAGCGGCGTGAGTAGCATTGTTGTAGGCAAACTCCAGGACGGGCAGATGCAAGTCCCATTTGGAGATGTCGTCCTTGCAGGCTGCACGGAGGAGTTGCTCCACAAATTGGTTGAGGCACTCGGTCTGTCCGTCTGTCTGCGGATGGTATGCGGATGACATGGCGAGTCTGGTTCCGAGTAGAGACATTAGTTCTTTCCAGAACTTGCTGGTGAACTAGGGTCTCGGTCGGAGATGAGTGTGGTCGGAATGCCACATTGTGAGATGATGTAGCGAACAAAGAGTTGTGATGTCTCCTCGGTGCGTGCTGTGGTGTGTGTCGGGATGAAGTGTCCCATTTTGGAGAATTTGTCAATGACAACGAGGATCGCATCATGACCGCTTGTGGTAGTTGGTAGCCCGGTGATGAAGTCTAGGCTTACCACTTGCCATGGCTGTTCTGGGACAAGAAGAGGCTGTAGTAGACCTGCTTTTCTTCAGCTTGCTGCTCTTCATCCGCTGTTATGTAGCACACGAGGTGATGAATTTCTGTACATCATCTGCCATGTGGGGCCAGTAGTAGTGTTTAGCGATACCGGTGAGCGTCTTGTTGCTACCGAAGTGTCCTGCGTACAGGACGTCGTGGTATTCTTCAAGTAGTAATTTGCGCAATGGAGGGTAATTAGGTACCCAGATCTTCGTTGATCCTTTCCGGTACGCGATGTCTTTGTCCCACTGTAGCAGATGTCACTTTTTTGCCAAGGGAATTTCGGGGTCAATGCTGTACCCGTGTGTGAAGAGTCCCTTGAGGAGTGGATTCATCCCTTCAACTTGGATAGCGGCAACATGTGCAGGCCGGCTAAGCGCATCTGCTTTGTTTTTGTGGCCGGGCTTGTACACGATGTCGTAGTGGAAGTGTGTCTCGAGGAAGTCAATCCACCGGACCTGCCGCCTGGAGAGGCTTGGTTGCGTCTTCAAATATTTTAGGCTGCAATGGTCAGTGTAGACTGTCGTCTTGCGCCCTTCGAGATAGCATCTCCACATTTTGAAGGCGATGATGATAGCAAGGGCCTCCTTGTCGTGTATCGGGTATTTGAGTTGTCCCCGTGTAATTTTCCTTCACGTTCTCAGGTGTCTTCCACGTACGTACGGCTTCGATTTTCTTGGGGTCGACGTGAACTCCTTGAGCGCTTACGATATGTCAGAGGAATTGGACTTTCTCGAAGGCAAAGTCGCTCTTAGATAGTTTGACGTAGAAGCGTTCTCATCGAAGAATTTCGAAGACGCGTCGTAGGTGCTCGACGTGTTGTTGCATGTCGTGCGAGTAGACGAGGATGTCGTCCAAGTACACCACCACGCATTCGTCCAAGAGTGGGCGTAGGATATGATTCATTTCTGCTTGGAATGTTGCAGGTGCGTT